ACACATACTTGAGATGGGCCGGGAGCGGCTTAAGCTCAACTTGTGGCGGAGATAACAATGATGGGACCGGAGGAGTGGTGGAAAGTTGGGGAAGTGGTTCTTTTGGAATTTTCCAAGGAGGTACATCCATGATAGCATTAATATCAAGCAAGGAATTGACTTCTTGAATGGCTTGATCAACATCAAAGTTTGAGAAGTCAAAATGGGACATGCAAGTTTCAAGAGGATCTTTGCTTAGAATGAAGGGGAGAGATTCTTCGACCACTTCATCAATGACATCTACAAGAAAACAATCATCCTCATCGGAGGGATGTTGAGTTGCATGAAAGATGTGGAGTTTGACTTGCATGTTTCCAAAAGCAATGTCCATCACCCCGGTTCGGCAATTAATTGATGCATTAGCCATGGCTAAAAATGGCCTACCAAGGATCACGGGAATGTGCTTTTTTGGGTCATAGACCGGTTCCGTATCAAGAACCACAAAATCTACCGGGAAGTAGAATTTGTCCACTTTGATGATAACGTCCTCGAGAATACCTCGTGGATGCTTGACCGATCTATCGGCAAGTTGCAAAACCACGGAAGTCGGCTTAAGATCTCCCAAACCAAGTTGTAGGTAGACTGAATATGGAATTAAATTCACACTAGCTCCTAAGTCAAGGAGGGCCCTCTCGATTTTGCTGTCACCAATGACGCAAGAGATTGTGGGGGCACCCGGATCCTTATACTTCGGAGGAGTGCTGTGCTGAATGATAGCACTAACATTTTCAGTCAACCTCACTTTTTTTGGCAAATGATTTTTAGAAGTGCGCTTTTGAGTGCACAAATCTTTAAGAAATTTTGCATAGGGAAGGATTTGCTTGATAGCATCCAAGAGGGGCAAGTTAATCTTCACTTGCTTGAAAACTTCCCACATGTCTTGAATTTTACAATTCTTGTTCCCAAAATGTGTCGACTCTTGAAGACATTGAGGAAACGGAGCTTTTGGCTCATAAGTAGTTTCCACATTTGGGGTGACATGTGTGGGATTTCCGTAAATGGTATTTGGACAAGAATTTGGATTTGAAGAGCTTGGATTTGGATTTTTCAAAGGAGGGTTTTTCTCACTTGTGTCTCCATCAACCTTGTTGTCAACCACTCTACCATTCCGAAGGGTGGTGATAGCTTGAACTTGTTCATAAGTCGGCCCACTCGGAGGAGGGGTTTCATCAATCACATGCATTCCTCTAGGATTTTCAAAAGGTTGAGAGGGAAGCTTGCCCTTGTCCTTTTGAAGCAATTGATTCACTGAGTTAGCTATTTGGCCCACTTGATTTTTGAGATTAGCTATGGATTGAGTATGAGAGTGAACCATTTGGAGAGTAGGCTGCAAGGATGTCAAGAGTTACTTGTTGGCATCCATTATTTGCTTATTTAATGATTCCATCATTTGCTTGTTTGCAGCTACTATCTCATCAGTTGGACACATAGGAGGTTGATTGGAGACATTTGGATTGTAAGGAGGACGGTAGCTTGAAGAAGCTTGGAAAGGTCTACCTTGATATTGAGAAGAGGGCTGATTTTGCCGCCCTTGGTTTTGGAATTGGGAATTTTGTGGGGCTTGTTGCCGCCACGAGAAATTCGGATGATCTCGCCAACCCGGATTGTAGGTGTTGGAATATGGATTGTTCCCGGGCCGCGAGAACATGGCATTAGCTTGCTCTTGGTTGGGATTGGGAAATTGCTCCGGTGTGGGGCAATCTTCCGAGAGATGGAATGGACTAGTACATGAAGCACAAACTGAACTTGCCGAATTTTGAGACAATGAAGGAGGAAGATGTGCTGCCATCAATTGGTAGAATTTATGAGCGATGGCATCCACTTGAGATGATTCCTCCCTTATTGATTTTGGTTGACAAGGGTTGGTGTTCTTTGCAATGGTTGCGGTCGGAGCCCTACGAGAATTATGTTGAAGTGAATTTTCGCTTAAATTCTCAAGTAGGGTCCAAGCCTCATCCGCATTCTTGGACATGAACATCCCACCACAAGAAGAATCAACCATGAATCTATGGGTTTCGGTCAAGCTGGCATAGAAAGCTTGCACTAATTGCCATTTTGGGATCAAATGATGAGGACATTTTCGAAGAAGATCTTGTAGCCTTTCCTAAGTCTCATGGAGTTGTTCTCCATCAACTTGAGAAAAGCTTAGAATGGAACGCCTCATTTGGTTGGTTTTACTCACCGGATAATACTTCTTAAAGAATTCTTGTTGCAATTGAGCCCAAGAAGTAATGGAATTGGGAGCGAGGGAGTTCAACCAATATTTTGCCCTATCCTTTAGGGAGAATGGGAAAATATGGAGATGAAGTGCATTGTCCGGAAAACCTCTCAACCGGATGGTTGAACAGATTTCAAGGAACTTATCAAGATGCTTATATGGATCTTCATTATCAAAGCCATGAAATGATGGAAGCATTTGGATGGTGCTTGATTTGATCTCATATTGAGCTACATCGATGTTTGGCATTACTATGCAAGAAGGAGAAGCATAGGTGATAGGAATGAAATGATCTCTAAGAGTCATTGGTTCTACATTAGGAATTTCAGCCCTTTCATTCCCCGGATTTCCTACGTTATCCCCCATTGTATTGAATTCAGTTTCAAGATCCCTTGTAAGAGTGGGTTCCCTAAGGTTCCGTCTAAGAGTTCTTTCAAGTGAATTTATATCAATAGGCGAGTTAAGTGTGGGTAGAGAGAGTGACCTACGGCCAAACATCAACAATTCACAACAACATCATCACAACAAATCTTTATTATCAACTCCACATACAATGTTCCCTTTCTCCTCAATTATCAAGATAGAAAATAAATGGCCATGACAAGGACCGATGCTTGTACACGAAATTAAACAAAATAATAGCCTCTACAAGGGTTTCACAACTAAATTAACTATTTCTAAAATTAACACATATACTGTACCTACAAGTTGAAACTAGAAGTCAAGAGACTTACCAGGGGTCCTCTAGACTTACAATTTGCTAGCGTTCCCACGGCGCTTCAAGTCCCTATAATCTTACAACACTTAAAACACAAAGATAGTCAAAACACACAAGGAATATTCACAAGACACAATATTCACAATCAAACTAAAATTAACCCTAAACTTTGGTTGCTAAACCGTATGCAAGTCCCCGGCAACGGCGCCAAAAATTGATCGGTTGATCAACTAAACATCAACCTTCGCAATAGCACGAATCATTGTAAAATAGGGCTATTGGTCGGGTAAGTCGAACCACTGGGACTGCGCTGATCTATGGCAACCTAAGTGTCTAGAGTCATTTTAGAGTAATAAGGGGTGTTCATAGAGGGTTTGTTTTGTTTGTCACTAAACTACAAATTCAGAATACATAAAACAATAAATTGAAGGAGATTAAAAGAGAAGATTTAGAGAAGGAAGTCTAGGGAAGTGAGTCCACTCCAAACCTCTACACAAGCTAATTATATGATTAATTTGGGGAATTAATGTAGAAATGACCTTGATATATAATAATACATGACTACTATAATATCTTCAAGAAATTCAATTAATTAAAGAGTAAGAACAACCTATCAAAGCTTCACATGGTTGAGTTACCTAAACTAAGATGCAACCCTAGACATGCTCACTAAGCTAGAGATTGTCAAACAATTAATCAATTGGTGGAAGCACATGATATCAAGTCACAAGATTAACTCATCAAAAGAAATTCTTAAGCTATGGATTAACAAGCTACTCAAAACCATGCCATTAAAACCGTTCCATAATCTTAGTTCCATTGCCACTATGAAACTATAAGTCATACAACTATGAGATTAAATAATCTAAGACAAGCGTATGTAAATCAACATAGTCATTCAAACATTCAAAATCTTCATTACAATTTGTAACATGCTCTAGACCATGGAACTAGCCAAATATACATTTCATTCCCCAAAATAAATCAAAAACTAGACATGCTTACAAGGTAGAGCTTCATCACCTCCCTAGATGGAGGTTTAGTTACCCATTGATGCATTAGAGGAAGGAGGAAGCAAAGCCTTGACCTCCATTTTCAAGCTCCACTCTTCTAGCTCCAAGAACACAACTTTCTTGCTCTCTTCTCTCTCCTCTATCTTGCAAAAATTCAAGGATATGAAATGTGTGGCCTTTGGTTGCCTTTTGTCCTCCAACAAAACCCTTTCTCTCCTCCAAGGAACACCTCCAACCACTTCATAAAGAAGGAAGATGGCATTGAGGAAACCAATGTGCAAGTGGCTGAAATTGAGCCATTTTCGAGTGCAATCTGCCTAATTTTCGAGCACTCGAAGAGTGGTCTCGAGCATTCTAAATTAGTGTAATGTGCAACATGCTCTTCTTGCTCAGCACTGACCTACTTTGGTAAAACTGCTATAACTTTGTGCCCCAAACTCCGAATGATGATATGTTTGAAGATTTGGAGAGATGATTCAGTGCTTTAAAAACTTCACGTTTTGATGAAGACCCAATTCTCAAGTCTGGTTGGTCAAAAATGGGGAGAAAGGCAGTACTTTAGTGCTGCCAGGCAGTTCTGCGCACCTCTGTTAAGAAGATCATAACTCTCTGCTCCGAACTCCAAATGACAAATCTCTTGAAGATTTGGAAATCTGATTCAGAGCTCTAAATCTTTCATGTTATGATGGAAGTCCAGTTCTTGAGTTTGCTAGGTCGAAAATGGAAACAAAAGTCAGGTTCTACTGCTGCCAGAAATTCCGAATTGGCACCCTTTTTGTTCAAAATTCCACAAGGCATCATTTTTGCTTCCTTTTTGCACTTTAACCTGAAAATGCACAAAAACATGCAAATGGAGTTAATCTACATAAAATAATCAATTAATGGACTTTGTTAATTTAATTTAGGGCGCTTGAATATACCGTATTCAGCGCTTATTATCTTGCTCCTCACGAAGGAGCTCTTCATACTTAGCCACTCTGCCGGCCAAGTCAAATAAGTCTTAAAATTGTACACCTTCAAACTTCTTGCGAAGTTCAAATTCTAGGCCATTCACAGCCATCTTCACATATTCTTCTGGCGGCAAAGATAAATTACATTTGAACTTGGCCCGCCTGAATCTGGAAAGGAAGCTCATCACAGACTCTCCAGGTAGTTGATGAAGTTTGGAAAGGTCTGCCATGGACACTTCAAGCTCAGCTCTATAGAACTGAGTATGGAATAAATCCTCAAATTGCTTCCAAATTTAAATGGGGTTGGCTGGTAAGTTGGAAAACCACCTGAAAGCATATCAAGTTAGTGTGTTTGGAAACAAGCGTACTTTCAGCCGTGGATTGGCTGCTGCTTCTCCACATTGCACAGTGAACTGACTGATATGTTCCAAGGTAAACTGTTCGCCCTCTCCATTGAACGTTGCAAACTCTGGAATTTTGAAATTCCTTGGAAATTCAACTTCATCAATGAACTCTGAATAGGGCTTTTTGTAAGTTGGCCTTCCACCCCTTCGAGTTAGGCCAAATTCTTATTGAAGGAATTCTGCAAATTGGCCTCTATCAAGTGCCATCAGTTGTAGAGGGTTGTTGTCTGGCCAACCTTGAGGTTGATTGGCCACCTGATTCCCCCCACCTGCCATAAGTAAGGGGTTGGCATCTGCATAGTTGTTTCTGCTACGGTTCCTTCTTCCTTGGTCCAGAAGTGGCTCCCTTGGAAAAGGTTGCCCCCCAACCACCATAGGAATGACTATGGGTGGCCTTACTGGAATAGGTGTGGCTGGCTGAATGTTCATAGGTGGAACATTCTGTTGTGACTGAGGGCTGTGGTATGGCCATGGTTAGCCAGGCTAATCATGCCAAGTCTGTTATGGAAATGCCACAGGTGGAGGATTCTGAACTTCCTGGATGGTTGGCATGGGCGCAGCTTGTGGAACAGTCATCTGTGCCACTGGAGCAGTCACAGGTGCAGCTGGAGTGTAAGTATGTGCCATTGGAAGGGACTGTACCTGCTGCTGAGTTAGAGGGAACGGCCCTGCATGTTGTTAAGAGGAACTCTCTTCAACAAATGTGGCCGGCCTGCTAGCTTGAAAGGCCAACTGTTGAGACCCTTCAGACTTGTTTGGCCGAGGGGCTAAACCTTGGTTTGAGCTTCCAAGGGTCCGTTCCAACATAAACTCGAACCTTTGAGAGATTCGGTCTACCAATTCTTTAAACTTTCGGTCTTGAGAAAGAACAGCTTTAGATTGGTCTTGAGCAACTCTGGCTAAGTCTTGAGCGACTTTAGCTTGGTCTTGCGCAAACCTATCTTGTTGCATTGCCATCATGCCGATGTTGTCCATGATGGGTCCATTTGCTATTGTTTGAGCAAATTTTTCGACCATATCATTTTCATCAGGTGCAAATCGTGAACTTTCCACTGGAAGTTCACTGGCTTGCTTCTCTTCTAGTTTGGTAGGGTCTTGGACAGACTTAACTTGCCTTCTTCCACCAGTTATTAAACAATCTGTCTAGATGTCCCGCCGAGCATGCCAATAATGTTCGGCTCCTAAAAACCGGGGTCTTTTCCAATTAGGAAATAAGGGTAAACGTCGGGCGTACCAGGAACTGCTGTCGTTCCAAAGTGGATATCTGAACAACTATCCAGTAGGAGATTATAGGGATCAGGTGATTGAATAAAAGACTGGAATTACCACATTCAAAGGTTATTTTTGCCTTGAAAAAAGGACTTTCGGACTGAACTATGGCTAGTTGAAAGGAAAGCTGTATTGAAAGTGAAGGACTTCAAAGTAAAGTGCTAGAAAGTAGGAATAATAAGTGCAAGACTTGAATTAAACATATTGAAAGTGCATTATATGAATGTAAAGTAAATGAAGTGTTGTTGGTTGTGTGTATTGAACAGGGTTTGCAAATTAGCTATAAGTGCTCTATTTATAGAGTTTTACATGCATGCAGCAGCTTGAAGTGGCAGCTCCAGCGATTTCGATGTGGCCAGATTCTGGACTGCCAAGTGTCCCATGATCTCTTGGCAGTTGTAACTTCTTCCTTCTATCTTCTCCCTCCTTTGTTGTAGCCTTCAGCCAATTTCTCTTTAGTCTTCAATGAACTTGTGTCGTGGATAGTTTTAAAGTGAATTCCCACTTGTCCTCTTTATTAATTGATAGTTATCAATTAACAGATGTCCCACGTTTTTGTTCTTCTTCCTCATGTTGTTGGCTTCTTTCCTTAATTTCAAACATGATTTTATTAGTTTTAGTTCGTTATCCATGATCCTTGGTAACTTCCCTCAGTTAGTGGTAGTTCCCCTATGAAGCTCCACCATTTTCAACCAATGTATTGTTGCTTGGCCAGGTGTCCCACGATCTTTATAATCCTTTCCATCTACAGACTCCTTCTTTCCCCATACAACTTTATATATATCATGCATAAATAAAGAAGTTACTTCCAGACCCATGTTACCCTTAACCTAGGTAACTTCCTTCCAGTTTGATCTTTCCTTTCATGGCACTGTGGCTCCTTCTTTCTAGCAACTTATTTATCGTGGGTTACATATAATACATATATATATATATATATATATATATATATATATTTATATATCCATAAGTATGTGTCACCCCACGTTCCTTTTTTTTCTGCAAACCACGTCTCCCTGATTTTTTGCAACTTCTCTCAACCAAACCTTCCTTTCTGGGCTTGAAATTCATGACGCCATGGACTTCATAATTTCAACGACTGCTTCATCGTGGGTTTTCAGTATATATATATATATATATATATATCTATATATATATATATTCCATAATTACAACTTATTCCCACGTCCATTTCCTTCAGCAGACCACGTTCCTTAGATTTTTAGTAATTCCCCTTCTTGAGACTTTCCTTCTGAGTTTGGAATTCATGGCGTTGTGTACTCCTTTATTTCAACAACTCCTCATCTTGGTTGAATTTTAATACAAATATATATATATATATACAAATTATCCCATGTTCCTTTTCTCTTGTAAGCTTGTATTTTGACTTAACAAGTTTAGTAACTGAATATCTGCCAAAAATCCCTACAAAGTAGGAGAGATTTTTGGTGCCACGTTCTCCTCTTCCTTGCTTAGTCAACTTTAGTCTTGCCATAATTGGAAACCTCCAATATCTTAGGGATACATGATTTTTACCCATAAGCCTTCCATAACAACAATTCTTTAAAAGAATTGATATATTATGGTAAGTTCCATAGAACTCGCCATGTGTTGAGAACTAATTGGTTGAATTTGTCTTGAATAATTGCGTGAGGTTGCATGTATGGTAGTTTTTTCATGAAATAATCATTTTCCAAATAAGAATATGTGGACCCTTGCTTTAAAGATGGCAAGTCCTAATAGGACTCACATCTTTCCTTTTAAAATACAAAATCCCACGTGGTAGGATTATACTGACCCACTTGTATAATTACTATGTAATATTACATAGCTTTCAATAATAAGTTATTAGAGTTGCGATTCAGCGTGTTAAGTTCCATTGAAACTCATAACATGTCGCATTTCCATTGGGCCAAAAATAATGGAGTAAACAAATTTTTTTATTTCACATATGTAAAGACTTGGGAGAGTGGACTTATTGCACATTCCAACATGGATTCTCAAGGGATAGACCACGTGAAGTTTAGAGATGAAGAATGGGCTATAACCTCAGGTTAATTGGTAGCTCCATATCAAATCCCCAAAACCCAACAGACAGCTCCTCAGCGTAGTGTCAGGCCTTTTTAGAGTACCAAATAATTTTACCACCAATGAATACTTGCAATTATCAGAAAAATGGTTTCAGTCTTTAACATTTATACTTAAAATGAACTGCATCTTATTTGAAGAAAGCAAAGGAAAATAGGGAATGCGCTTGAATGAACCCTAACCTTCTCTTTATGTAGAGTTAACCAAGTTCATCTATTTTAAGACAAAGTGTCATTGAATATATTGACAAATTTAGTGTCGAAAACTTAAAATTGTAATTTTTTTTTAAGATGCTTATTCGCATTTTCTTTTTCTACAATTCAAATCAGTTACTGGTCACTACCATTACATCCCGCAGCAATGGTCAATTATAGCGATAGTAGAATTAATTTGATAATTTGAAGATTTATTCATTTCATTCTAGCTGGAAAGAATTCCAGACTTCCTTGATTCAATTCTCATATCATGATTGTGATATCCCAAATATATATATATATATATATATATATATATATATTTTGGGTAAGTTGATATCCCAAAATTAATCCTCCTGCATTTGCCACGAGTGAGAATGAGATCTTAGATCAGCATTAGAGGACTTGGTTTTCATAATCACCAAACTGTTTTTTCATACATGATATATTCTATAGCTTGATGCATGTCCTTAATAAGCTGCCATACTTCTATTTAAAAGGAAATGACATTTTAAAACCTAACTTAACATGTAGGGCAATTTATTAGGTATTTTATTATTTTTAGGGAAGCAATATTTGCACTCCACTTTTCTCCAATTGAACTACATTTGCCGTTTTTCTTTTAGCGGAAAGGACAAAAATATCCTTGAATTAACTAATGCCCTATCCCTTAGTTTATCATGTCATAACTACATTTTATACAACTTTAACTTCTTCTTCTTTATTATTATTATTATTATTATTATTATTTTATCTTCTTTAGTTCCTTTAATATTTTTTCCGTATGCTATACTTTTTTTTTTTTTTTTTTGGAGATCCTCTCAACGAATATAATTTATTCAATACTGATAATTTTATTTTTGGTAGTCAAAAGAGATAATTTATTCAATAACATGAATAATTTAATGAAAACTATAATTGTCAATTTTGAAAATACAGATGCTTAGATTTAAAATGGCTAAGAATAGAGTGAATTCTAAAATATTATCACCTCCCATTATATTACTGTTGCATGTAAATTGTTTTGTAAGCATGTAATTTTCTCATGAGAAATTACCAGGCTTCATTTTGTTCCTGAAATTAAGACATGATTCTCAGATTTCCTCAAATTGATAGATTTTGCTGCAAGAAAATCGCAATTGCTGTTTGCAAGAAACACTAAAGGACAATCCACTTTCTTTCTCAAGTTCCCTTCCCCACTCAACTTATGTACACGTTCCAGAACCCGAATCTTCTCCATTGAAACAATATGACATGTTCCGTTGGGATGAATCTTACAAAAAGGTGGAATGTTTAGCAAATGCCCCAATTTTTTTTGTAAGGTAGATCCTATACTGGACGGAACATGATGTATTATTTTTCTTCCCACATTCCATGCATATGATGGAATACATACAAACATATATCAATACACAGAAGCCCAAGTTGAAATACTACTAGGAACATAGTGATGGTTTACATTAAATGTTTGATACCAAATTATAAAATAATTCTAAAGAATCTATATATTATCTAAGCACAATAATTCACCATGTTTTTGTGTAGATTTTTTTTTAAAAAAAAAATTTGGTGAGGTTTTGACTTTTGATACATGGAAAATTGGGTTGCTTACTAATTGGCAATCCGAACATTTAATTTTTGGGTTTGTACCTAGATAAGATTCCAAGAATACATGCTTATCCAAGGTTTTATGGACTAATAATCTTCAATTATAGTTAAATATATTTGTTCTTGAGGTTTCTGACGGCAGTGCATTAAGGTAAGCATCCTATAATAGCGTTTGTGTTGTCAACACCAACCAGAAGTGCAGAATTGACAAGTAAAAGAAAAGAGTGTAGAACAAACTGAACATCGTATCCAAAATTGAAGTTCTCAACACAGAAATGGGGGAAGATGGTATGTGGACTGAATCATGAATTGAACCAACAATGTCACACTTTGCATATAGAGAACAACGCCATGTCATCTATTTATGCTTTAAACGAAACAGGAAGATACAAGTTGCTGGATAAAAAAGTACGACACTGTGTTAGATGTCTGCATCATTACGATTGAAACCAGATAAACAGATATCACACGAAGCCCTAACCACTACAAAAGTATCCAAGAATTCAATCCACCATGTTGTTGAGCTTCAAGTTTCAATCGCCGGAACTAAAACAGAGATTAATGAATCTGAATTGATTGCATATTCACCACCCAAGAGTAAGCATAGGAGAAACCAATGTATAGTCTTAGAAGGTCCACTTTGTTCCTCAATTTCCCAATATCCTAGTTACTCCGAAAGATTTAACTTCTTCTGAAAATACTATTTGGAGTACATGCGATAGAATTGATGTAGCTTGAGATTGGACCCAAACAAAAATCATTATTGTGTCAGGAATTTTATTTTTAAATTCAATTTTTTTATTAAAAAAAATCATGTATAATTCTTTCCTTTTTTCCTTTATGTATATATATGAGAAGATCCATCATGTGAGTTCGCTTTGAATATAAACAAACATTAAATGAGTCAAGTTCAACCCAAGATCTAATTCAAACTAAGTGCATTAGGACTTGCTTAGATTATAGGTCTATCTATTACATAAATTGGACCGGATTACCAACAAATATAAAATTTTATTTGGTTTTCTTGGCAGGTCAGAGAATGCTTGACCAGGCTTCCATTTTTTCTCCTTCCCTATGTATAGATAGCACATACATGATACATATCTTGGTCTAATTCAAGAAAACATAAATCACATTCTGATATTGACACATATAACCCACAAGTCAATGCAACATAAGTTTGGAACAAATACAACGTAAAAGGCACATACTACAAACTAACAACTTTTTTGTTGAACTAGATTTATTGGACACAGTTGCTACTTTGCTACCAATATTTCTAGTTCTTTCTTAAAACCCTTGACAAAACTTTGACATTGATAAGACTCAGCAACAGCTCCACTTCCTCTAACCTCGCATGTCGAGACTTCTTCCTGTTAGGAATAGAAAACAATCGATAGAAAATAATCACACACAAAAATACACTATTACGTAGTTTGGCAAAAAAATTTACTTGGGTGCACCAAAATTTCACTATCAATAATGAGGGTTTACAATGGAGAGTTCTCACACATAAATCCTTGCAAATTCGACTACCAGTGAACATAGAAAAATAAAGGTAGTTAAATACAAAAAAACATAAAATGGTATAAAAACACAATCTAAAAAATAAAAAATAAATAAAAAAATCTCCCTATCAGCAAAGTCCTAGTCTCCTAGAGAAGTAGTAGAATTCTATAACTTTCGTTGACATCTGTTGTCTAGTTCATTTAAAAGACCTCAAATTGCCTTGTTTAATTTATTGAGAAGTATGTAAATTTAAAACCTCAGGAAGCCTTGTTTGAGTCATTGAAAAAGCGAAACTATGTAACTTTATTAATTATAAAATGAAGCTCTATACTTAATTTATTGATCGAGATATATAAAGCAATTAATAATGAAATAACAGGGACAAACAAGATCAACGAGAGAAAAGAAAAAACATACAAAGAAAAAGAAAAAGAAACCATAGCAAACAAGTAATAGTGGAGATTTTTTACCTGTGAAATAAGGGAGCACGCTCTTCTTCAATTTTGTGGGCATTTGAGAACAGGAAAGAAAGCAGAGCGAGTTTCTTCATTCTCCCATTCTAATTTATCCCGCCACTCTCCTTCACATTCAATTTCTCGTAGACTGCCTTTCCCGCCACTATTGGAGTCGAATAGAAGTTTCTTAAGCTTCGGACATTCATACACTTCAATTTTGGTCAGAGAAGGGAAGGGCAACGGATGAGTACTATAGATGCTCTTTAACTCTGCTAGTCCAATCAGAATCAATGTCTGTAGCCTTGTGAATACACTCAATTTTCCTATTTCCCTACCAATAATATCTTCTTCATCACTACTGCAATCTTTGATTACATCTTCCATTGCATCACAATCGGAAATTGTTAAAGTTTGAAGGTTTGGCACCCAAATTAGCCATGTTACTTCCTTCAAAACCTGGCACTATGTAATCCGAACTTCCCAAAGGTTTTGAAAGCTTCTGCTTCCATCTATTATACTCTTCATATCCCACGGATGATTGTTTTCGTGAGGTCTCTCTCTTTCCTCCCACCTCATCCCATCCATTGACAACTCCTCTATATCATCACATCTTTCAATTTCAAGAAGTTCTAGTCTCTTCATCTTCTTCTGTAAAGAAGACAGTGGCAGCGAAATTGAGCCTTTGAATCCACTGATGCATAAACCAAACGCGAAACTTAAAAACTTTTGCAAACTTAATAATTTTTGGAGAGCAAGCTCTGTTTTCACCGTCAAACTTAAATATTGAAGGTGATTCAAGCATTCCAATTCATTACCACCAAACAAGACGCTGCTGCCTTCATCAATATTTTCCTTTGATGAAACACCACTGCCACCATGACCACGCATCTCCAACCTTTGGAGATTCAAAAGACTTGACATGACTTGCTGTGGGATTATATCAAGTGCATACATGCCATTCAGATATAAATACTTCAACTTTACCAATGACTGAAACTCAATTGGCAATTCCCTTATGCCCGTCCACGAGAGATCAAGATATTGCAATGAAACCAACCCGAAAAAGCTCGTTGGTAACTTTCTTAGATTAAAATTAGCTGATAGGTCTAAAACCTTGAGAGTAGGCATAAATTGGAAAAAAAACTATTGGAAATGGTCCACAAAGCATTATTACGACAAAGAATTAAAGTCAAGAGATTGGGGCATCTAGGAGTACTTTTGCTTAATTCTTCAATTGAAATAACAAAAGTAGTGGTTCAGTCTTCTCCCATTTAGAAATAAGTTTATGACTTTCTCCGCTCCCACTCTCCCAAACTATCCCCTTCTCCCAAACTATCCACAATGCCATGTCCCGAATTAGGTCATGTATGTTCACACAATTGGAATCTGAGCTCTGCACCAACAAACATGTAAGTTTCAACCTACAAATAATATCATATGCCAACTTACAAGCATCATCAATGTTATCATCACATTCAGCATCAAGAAAACCCTCACCTATCCATAATTTTATGAGATCGGAAACTTCAATATCATGATCTTTTAGGAACAAAGCACAATACAAGTGACTCAAAACTAGTCACTTTGTTCGAACCTCGTCCCTTTGACTCAGTAATTGAACCAAAATTATTGAAATGGACAGATATGGGGATCTGAAGTTAAATAGTGTGGTATATGACTATATGTACTAGGGTCTTTGCCTACGAAGAATTGATTTGTGGTTACAATTCTAGAAAGTTTGAACCAAACTAACAGAATTACATTATTTATGAAAAAGAACTTCTGGCAATTAAATTGGCAATAAAAAGATTTTATATTTATCTTGCTCCAGAAGATTTTATTATTCGTACTGATAATCAAGCAGTTAAAGACTTTCTAATATACAAAAAAAATTGTTTAGACGGACGCAGATTAAAATGGTATAATGTTACGTTAGTGCCCAGTATTCGTTTTCTATTGAATATATTAAAGGCACTAACAATTTTCTTGCAGATTTCTTAAGCCGGAATTACAATGAGGTAACTAACCATGATATTTCTCTGAACACAGATGAGTGATCAAGGCAAAAATCCCCCTCCCGATAAAGAAGGTTGGGTCACAATTGCTAAAAAGACAATCGATAAACTGTAATAGTTATGCTTATATATATATGTATATGCATATATATATTAAAGTTAAGATTTTTTTCAAAAGTAGGTGGGCCCCACCAATAACTTAAAAACATTACTAAAGGCCATAAGGCCATTATGCAGACATATATTTCTCTCTCTCTCTCTGCTTCCGGCCTTCTCTCGGCATCTCTTTTCTTTTTCTCTTTTTGTATTTTTAAGCTTTGATCTCATCTTCACCAATTGGATTTTGGTATAACATTGTGAAGCAAAGTTGTTGCTCGAGCCCGTTAATTTGATAGGAGCCAATCATCATTTGGTGCACTCTAGGGAGTTCAAAATTCTAGGGTTCGTGGGCTCAAATTGGGGGTTTTCATCAATTTGAGGTAGGGGTGTTCTAATCTACAACTTCTTAGCTCTTTTTGTGAATTTTGCCCCTTAAATTTGATCCTAAGCATGCTAATTTTGATTATCTAGTTTTTGGTTGAAGCATGTTTAACTAAAATGCTAAATGTGTTCCATGTATTATTTGAATTCATATATATGACTAGATTTATTACGGTGATTGAGCATGTTTGGTGTTGACATGTTGTATGTCCTAAGATTATGTATTTATTTATTTATTTATTGCTTTGAAAGAAAATGATGTTATGGTCAATAAATAAATAAATAAATAAAAGAAATGAATGCTTATAAATTTCTATTAAATTGTGATGATGATGTAAATATAATGTATGAAAGCCTATGGTTGAATTGATAAATTGAAGCATGCGCATTCACGCATTCATTGGGAAAGAGAAAGGGGAAAAAAAATGTTTTTTTTTTTAACAAACGAAATTATTTTGGGGAAAATATTTTTTTTAAAGGAGTTTGCGAAAACCGGACGCCTAGGAGGCGCCTAGTGGTCCGTGGTGTTAGTGTAGTCTAGAAGGGATCATGGTTGAGCTAACTAGGCCGGATGCGACGCCTTGGAGGTGCCTTGTGGTCGTGGATAGTTAGTCAACCCTCCATTCGTGACGCCTTGGAGGTGCCTTGGGTCGGATTACACTAACGATTTTGGAAGTTGAAACGGAAATGTTTCGAATAATGGGGAGTAACATTTGCATATTACACTTCATGACATTGTGGTAAACTTGTGATTGGGTGGTATTTGTTACATACTTGTTATTGTATTTGAGAGTGTGTGTTTCCTTATAACATGATCCCTTTCACTTTTTTATCTATTCATTGTATGGATTCACGGGGATATAAGAAGTGTGTCTTAGACACTTCCTACTGAGCTTATGTTCACCCCATTATTTCTAACATTTTTCAGGACATGGAAAAGAGGTGGCGGACGACGATCCACCACGATTTTAGACGAGCACGGAGACCTATTTTATTTTATTTTTTTTTATTTTTATTTTTTTGCTATTTTTTGTATTAAAACTCTCTAATATTTTGTAAATGTAATATTAACTAACTCGTAAAACTTTAGTTTAATTAGTATAATGTTGTAAGCCATGGACTTTTAAATTCTAACTACGCTTTTTGGACTGTAACTTGATGTAACCAAAGTATGTTCCTTGTTGGATGAGATGGAGGAATGGGATTTTGTATGTATGTAGTCACTTTGGAGATGTGATATAATATATGTATATTGCGTTGGGACAGGATATGTTAGATTTAAGGCCCAGTGAGGCCATTGTATTTATTTTTTTGTATTTCAACAGGTTGTTTAGAGACATTTTCTGTGGAGGTCATGCCGAAATTTTTATAGATTTTTATTATTATTTTGGTATCCATTTGGGTGGTTACAAATTTGGTATCAGAGCCATGGTTCGAATGCCATTAGGACGGCGGGTAGAGGCTTACCTAGGATTGCATGGGGAGTTGAGTTATTTGCTTACTTGCTTAATTGTTTACGTGATGGCATGCTTATATGCTTATGTGTTAAGGTGCTTAATTATTTGAAAGACGTGCTTATTTGTTTAACTGCTTATATGACTACGTGCTAAGTGCTTAATGTTGTTGTATATGATTAGCATGATCATGTTTATCATTAGTTGGGTATTCTGGGACTATGAAAGGTGCTTATGTGTTTCCATTCTTGTCAAGTCATTCATGTGAGGACTTCGTTCTCGTGCGTATTTTAGTGTCATCGTTTTTTATCTGTTTCCTTTTTCTTATAACATCATGGCAACACGAAGGGATCCCGGGGAAAGCTCTAGCTCCAATCCCGTGGAAAGGGATCAGGAGCAAGTTGAGGAAGATATCTTGTTGCGTGATTTGGTCCCACCAAGAGGGGGACAAGCGAGGGGGACTATTGATCCACCTTTTCAGATGAATAGGGAACAAATTAGGTTAGCCATTCAAGAGGCTATTTTTGATGCATATCGACCGACAGGCGTGTCATCGTCACAGTTTGTACCACCACCGACTCCACCACCACCACCTCCGAAGACAAATGAGCTAGATGATACTCTTTCTCACATTGCCAGGTTCGTGAAGTTGATGCCAACCTTGTTTGAGGGTGGTCCAGATCCGCTTGTTGCGGACGGTTTCCTGGATAGGGTGGAGAAGCATATTAATGCCATGAATTTGGCAACGGATAAGTTAAAGATCACATTGGCGACTTACAATTTTGTGGGCGATGCTGAGATTTGGTGGAAGACCGTTTCTCACACCCATAATCTGGATACTATGACATATGCTACATTCAAGAAGTTGTATTATGATAAGTACTTTCCAGCGCCTAAGCGGAGGGAACTAAAGAAGGAGTTTGATGGGTTAAAGCAAGGAAGTATGACAGTTACAGAGTATGAAAACAAGTTTACATCACTTTTGAGGTTTGCACCGGGAATTGCTAATGATGATGAAGGAAATATAGAGAAATTTGTTGATGGCCTTGATCTTACCATTAGGCCAATTGTAGCTGCTTCATAACCAACAGAGTATGCAAAAGCAGTGCGAAAGGCTTTAGTGGTTGAGGCTGAGAGTAAGGACAACAAGGCTATCAGGGAGTCCTACAAGCACAACAGGGGTATGAGTACTTTCTCCGAAGGTCAATCAAGTAAGAAGCAGAAGCATGAGCAGTCAGGGTTCAGGGGACAGCAGCCAGTTAGATCTGCACCCACAGCTTCAGTGTCCATGGGGTCTTCTAGACCGAATGTTACTTGTTTCAGATGCGGGCAGTTGGGACATTACAAGTCCCAATGCACTCAGACACAGGTAGCTCGGATGATTTGTTTCAAGTGTGGGCAGCCAGGGCATCACAAGTCCCAATGTACTCAGATTCAGGTGGCGTCTGGTGGATGTTTCGGGTGTAGCCAGCAGGGCCATAGGGTGAAAGATTGTCCACAGCGGGGCAGTGGTTTGGGCAGAGGTGGAGGTTCACAGCAGAAGCAGATGCAGTCTGCCACAGTTCAGTCAGGGTTTCGACCACCACCACCACCTCAGCCGTCTCAGCCAGCTATGTCAGCCCAGAGTTCTCGACCTAGTAGGGGAGCTTCTTCAAGTGCACCTACTCAGCAGTCTGGCTATCAGGCAGGTAGTTCCCAGGGGCAGAAGACCCAGGGTCGCGTGTTTGTACTCACTCCAGTCGAGTCACCATCCAGTCCTTCAGTTGTTAGGGGTATGTTTCTTGTGTCCCATTCTTGGGCTCGTGTATTGTTTGATTCTGGTGCTTCTTATTCATTCATTGCTTCATCATTTGCACAGGCATTGGGTTTAGAGGTTAGTCAGTTAGACAGACCGCTTTGTGTTGACACGCCTATTGAGGGTTCAGTTGCTCTTAGTAGAGTTTGTAGGAGTTGTTCCATCACAATTGCCGGACATGTTCTTGAGTTCGATCTCATCCTTCTCGAGATGACAGGATTTGATGTCATTCTTGGGATGGACTGGTTATCATCCTTCAGAGCTGTCATTGATTGTTTCAGGGGCAGAGTTTCAGTGTGTACCCCGGATGGGGATTGTTTCTATTTTGTGGGAGATCGGTGTGATCCTCTCACTTATTCATTTTATGGTGTTAGGGGTCGAGATCGGCAGACATTCTTCTTGGTTAGTCTTTTCGCTGATGATGACGTTGAGTTTTATGGGGTTGATTATCCAGCAGTTGTGCGTGATTTTCTGGATGTGTTTCCGGAGGACTTGACTGAATTGCCTCCATACCGAGAGGTGAAATTTGCTATTGATTTTATGCCTGGTACCGCACCATTCTCTATGGCACCGTATTGTATGGCACCGATTGAATTAGAAGAATTGAAAAAGTAACTTGATGATTTGAGGAGGAAAGGCTTTATTCGACCGAGTGTGTCACCGTGGGGTGCACCGGTCTTGTTCGCTAAGAAGAAAGATGGTTCTTTGAGGTTGTGCATTGATTACCGAAAGTTGAATCATGCCACCATCAAGAACAAGTATCCTTTACCAAGGATAGATGATTTATTTGATCAGTTGAGGGGAGCCAGTTGTTTTTCGAAGATTGACTTGAGGTCAGGCTATTATCAGTTACGGGTTAGAGAGGAGGATATTCCAAAGACCGCGTTTCGTACGCGGTATGGACATTACGAGTTTCTTGTTATGCCTTTTGGTTTAACCAATGCGCCGGCGGCATTCATGGATTTAATGAACCGTGTCTTCCACGATTACTTGGATCAGTTTGTGGTAGTTTTTGTGGATGATATTCTTGTATATTCATGGACTCGGGAAGAGCACGAGGTCCATTTGGGTATAGTGTTGCAGATTCTACGGGAGCACCGTTTGTATGCCAAGTATGAAAAGTGTGAGTTTTGGCTATAAGAGGTGAAATTTTTGGGACATGTTGTCTCGGAAGGTGGGGTTTCAGTTGATCCTTCAAAAATAGAGGCAGTTTTGAGTTGGGAGCAACCCAAGAATGTCTTTGAGATCCGGAGTTTCCTTGGCCTAGCGGGTTATTATCGGAGATTTGTGAAGGATTTTTCCCGTTTGGCAGCTCCTATGACCAGATTGACCAGGAAAGGGATCAAGTTTGCATGGAATGAGGCCTGTGAGTCATCCTTTCAAGAGTTGAAAACAAGGTTGACTACGGCTCCGGTGTTGGTGATACCTGAGCGTGGCTTGGGTTATATGATCTATTGTAACGCCTCACCTGATGGTTTGGGTTGTGTACTGATGCAAGATGATAGAGTAGTGGCTTATGGGTCTCGACAGTTGAAGACTCATGAGCTTAACTACCCTACTCATGACTTAGAGTTAGCGACAGTTGTATTTGCTTTGAAGTGTTGGAGACACTATTTGTATGGTGAGAGATTTGAGGTGTTCTCGGACCACAAGAGTCTCAAGTACCTTTTCTCCCAAAAGGACTTGAACAACAGACAGAGGCGATGGGTTGAATTCTTAGAAAACTATAACTTTGATTTGCAGTATCATCCTGGCAAGGCAAATGTGGTAGCTGATGCTTTAAGCCAGAAATCTCGTGGGACTTTGGCTAGTTTAGCCATTTAGAAATGGAAAATGCTGGAAAATTTGGCTGAAATGGGATTGTATTGTTTTGATGATGATGATGATGGCAGTGAGTCAGCATTCTTGTTTAGTCTCGTGGCTCAATCCATTCTTGTTAGATGGGTGATTAAGTCACAGAGACAGGATTCAGATTTGGATGCCATTTACACTTTGATCTCCAGTGGCGAGATCGTGAAGGATTGGACCTTACATGCAGATGGAGGTCTACAGTTTAGGGGTTTGTTGGTTGTTCCTACAGTTTATCGTGAGGATGTCTTATGGGAGTTTCATACTTCCCGCTTTGCAGTTCATCCGGGTGGTACCAAAATGTATCACAATCTAAGACTTCAGTATTGGTGGAGTGGAATGAAGAAGGATGTTGCACAATTTGTGGCTAAGTGCCTTACCTGTCAGCAGGTGAAGGCCGAGCACCAGAGACCAGCTGGTTTATTGCAACCATTGCCGGTAGCGCAGTGGAAATGGGAGGAGATTGCCATGGATTTTGTGATAGGTCTTCCTAGGTCACGGAGGGGAAATGAAGCCGTATGGGTCATTATTGATAGGTTGACCAAGACTGCTCACTTTTTGCCTATTAAGGCAACAAATGGTGCAGAGGCACTTGGTGTCTTTATGTGAAGGAGATTGTGAGATTGCATGGAGTTCCAGTGACTATTGTGTCGGATAGAGATGCCAAGTTCACCTCAAAGTTCTGGGAAGGACTTAAAGCAGTGTTTGGCTCAGCGTTGCACCTTAGCACGGCATTCCATCCACAGACGGATGGCCAGTCGGAGCGTACTATCTAGATCTTGGAGGATATGCTTCGGGCCTGTGTACTTGACTTGGGTGGTAATTGGGAGGATCACCTTCCACTTATTGAGTTTGCCCACAACAACAGTTATCAGGCAAGTATTCAGATGGCTCCATTTGAGGCGTTGTATGGTAGACCTTGTAGGTCTCCTGTATATTGGACTGAGGTGGAAGAGACAGCCGCCTTAGGACCCGACATTGTACTCGAGACTACCGAGAAAATTAAGTTGATTAGACAGAGGCTGCTCATGGCTCAGAGCCGACAGAAGAGCTATGCAGATAGGCGGAGGCGACCGTTATCCTTTGAGGTGGGAGATCACGTTTTTCTTCGATTTTCTCCACGAAAAGGGTTGATGAGGTTCAGAAAGAATGGCAAGTTGTCTCCACGATTCATTGGGCCTTTTGAGATCTTGGACCGTGTAGGAGAGGTTGCCTACAGACTTGCTTCGCCACTGCAGATGGACAAAGTTCATAATGTCTTTCATATATCAATGCTACGGAAGTACGAGCCAAATCTGTCTCACATTTTGAGTTGGGTTGATGTAGACATTGATGAGGATGTTTCTTACAAGAAGGGACCAGTTCAGATCCTTGACACACAGCAGAAGGTGTTGAGGAAAAAGATGATACCATTGGTAAAGGTTCTTTGGAGGCATCATGGAGTTGAGGAGGCTACTTGGGAGCTTGAACAGGAGGTTCGCTCCAAGTATCCAGAGTTGATTTCTTCCTCAGGTATGACTTGATTTTGGGGACGAAATCTTTTAAAGTTAGGGAGAATGTAATAGTTATGCTTATATATATGTATATGTATATTTATTAAAGTTAAGATTTTTTTCAAAAGTAGGTGGGCCCCACCAATAACTTAAAAACATGACTAAAGGCCATAAGGCCATTATGCAGACATATATTTCTCTCTCTCTCTCTCTACTTCCGGCCTTCTCTCGGCATCTCTTTTCTTTTTCTCTTTTTGTAATTTTAAGCTTTGATCTCATCTTCACCAATTGGATTTTGGTAGAACATTATGAAGCAAAGTTGTTGAGCTCGTCGAGCCCGTTAATTTGATAGGAGCCAATCATCATTTGGTGCACTCTAGGGAGTTCAAAATTCTAGGGTTCTTGGGCTTAAATTGGGGGTTTTCATCAATTTGAGGTAGGGGTGTTCTAATCTACAACTTCTTAGCTCTTTTTGTGAATTTTGCCCCTTAAATTTGATCCTAAGCATGCTAATTTTGATTATCTAGTTTGTGGTTGAAGCATGTTTAACTAAAATGCTAAATGTGTTCCATGCATTATTTGAATTCATATATATGACTAGATTTATTACGGTGATTGAGCATGTTTGGTGTTGACATGTTGTATGTCCTAAGATTATGTATTTATTTATTGCTTTGAAAGAAAATGATGTTATGGCCAATAAATAAATAAATAAATAAAAGAAATGAATGCTTATAAATTTCTATTAAATTGTGATGATGATGTAAATGGAATGTATGAAAGCCTATGGTTGAATTGATAAATTGAAGCATGCGCATTCACGCATTCATTGGGAAAGAGAAAGGGGGGAAAAAAAAGGTTTTTTTTGAACAAACGAAATTATTTTGGGAAAATATTTTTTTTTAAGGAGTTTGCGAAAACCAGACGCCTAGGAGGCGCCTAGTGGTCCGTGGTGTTAGTGTAGTCTAGAAGGGATCATGGTTGAGCTAACTAAGCTGGATGCGACGCCTTGGAGGTGCCTTGTGGTCGTGGATAGTTAGTCAACCCTCCATTCATGACGCCTTGGAGGTGCCTTGGGTCGGATTAAACTAACGGTTTTGGAAGTTGAAACGGAAATGTTTCGGAAAATGGGGAGTAACATTTGCATATTGCACTTCATGACATTGTGGTAAACTTGTGATTGGGTGGTATTTGTTACATACTTGTTATTGTATTTGAGAGTGTGTGTTTCCTTATAGCATGATCCCTTTCACTTTTTTATCTATTCATTGTATGGATTCACGGGGATGTAAGGAGTGTGTCTTAGACACTTCCTACTGAGCTTATGCTCACCCCATTATTTCTAACATTTTTCAAGACATGGAAAAGAGGTGGCGGACGACAATCCACCACGATTTTAGACGAGCACGGAGACCTATTTTATTTTATTTATTTATTTTTTATTATTATTTTTTTTTTGGCTATCTTTTTTATTAAAACTCTCTAATATTTTGTAAATGTAATATTAACTAACTCGTAAAACTTTAGTTTAATTAGTATAATGTTGAAAGCCATGGACTTTTAAATTCTAACTACGCTTTTTGGACTGTAACTTGATGTAACCAAAGTATGTTCCTTGTTGGATGAGATGGAGGAATGGGATTTTGTATGTATGTAGTCACTTTGGAGATGTGATATAATATATGTATATTGCGTTGGGACAGGATATGTTAGATTTAAGGCCCAGTGAGGCCATTGTATTTATTTTTTTGTATTTCAACAAGTTGTTTAGAGACATTTTCTGCGGAGGTCATGCCGAAATTTTTATAGATTTTTATTATTATTTTGGTATCCATTTGGGTCGTTACATAAACCAACTTCATCACAGCCTAACAAGTGGTTTGTGGTATTTGCTGGTCACCAACCAAGAATATATGCAGAATGGAACAACTGCCACAAATAGTTGCGATCATTTTCGGGCTCCTGCTTTAAAGCTTATGATACACTTATAGAAGCCCAAACCATCTTCTATAACATGGGTAAAGTCTCCCAAAAAATGTTTTCACAATTCCAGGAGCAAATAGAGGTAAACGACTTCTGTAATCCCAGTCTTCCAAACAATTTTTATAATGAAATTAATAATGTTTGGAAATCTCACAAACTTGGTGCAAATAAGAATTTCAGGCAACACCTGAGTACTCTTACTTCGCTCGTAGCTGAAAACACAGCCATGACTAAAGAGCTTAAAAAGCTTTACATCCAAATCTGTCTTACAATTGACTGGGAAAAAGATTT